TATTCATTTATTTAACAAGTGTATCCCCAACTGTGGTCTAGGTTTGGGTAAATACGACAGAAAAAGTCCTGCCATCATGCAATTTACAGTTTACTGTGAAGATAGGCAATAAAGAATAAACAAATAAATCCAGAATATTATATAGTAATATAATATAATATGCATGTGCTTGTTTGTGCAGGATATTGGGAGTGTATTATTATTTTAGATGAATTAGGAAATATTTCTCTAACGAGGTGAGATTTGTGCAGAAATAAGAATAATGAGGAATCAGACGTGAGATTGGGGGAGGAGCATTTCCAGCAGAAGGAACAGTAAGTGCAGAGGCCAAGAGATAGGACTATGCTTGGTATGTTTAAGAAGCTGAAAGAACAAGTGCAGCTGTAATGGAGTAAAGAAGGGTGTGATCAGAGATGAGATAGAGGTATTAGGAACAGGCATGGACATCATGGTAACCAATTACGTTTTTGGGGTTTTTTTGGTATCAGGAATTGAACTCAGGGCCTCACACTTACCAGGCAGGCACTGTACCTGCTGAGCTACACCCTTCCAATTACATTTTGAGTCCCATGGGAAGCCACTAGAGGATTTTTTTTCTCAGTACCAGGAATGAAACTCAGGGCCTTGCACTTGTCAGGCAGGTGCGGTGCCACTGTGCTACATCCCCAGCTACACTAGAGGGTTCTAAGCTGGGAAAAGAAGTGGTTTGATTACACCTCCTTGGCTGCTTTATGAAGGAGTAGAAGTAGGAGTAGAAGCAGGAGTAGAAGAAGGGAGGCAGGAGTAGAAGAAAGGAAACCAGTTAAGAAGGTTCTTGCAGTAAATCAGTTGAAAGATTATGGAAGCTATAGCTGTAAAAACATTACTACCATTTTTCTAGAAACAGTTGGAGCAGAATTGAACTATTTTTCAGTAAGTCTTCAGTGCAGTTTGGGGACAAAAAATCATTTTGAACATGAGAGAATGCCTTATTTTGAATATTTAACTATATGCCATAATCTCAACTTTGGGTCTTTGCACAGCTCTTTCCTCTGTAATGTTATTCTACTCTCATCATACTAATTTTTGCTCATGACTGAAGTCTCAGCTCTAAGACCTATTTTTTAACAAACATATCCTTTGCACTTAGAATTAGACTTTTTTTTTTTGAGGTGCTAAAAACACTACAGGGCCTAACACAGGCTAGGCAAATGCTCTACCACCGAGCTCTGCCCCCAGCCCTTAAAAATATATCTTGGATATATCTTAATTTTAATTTTGTGATTCTTAGATTATGTCTGTGTGAAAAAAAATACTCCATCAATAGATTGTAGATAATTTCCTTAGCCCTGTGACATGCAATTAGTGGAATATCTGTGTTTGGTACCTGTTGTAAAAATTCCTCAGGCCCCTTCATTTTAAGCCAAAGACCTTTTTTTTGTCATCTGTGAATAGATTGCTGAAGGGCTTCATAAATATTGAAAGGATGTTGTTCTTCACTGGGGCTTGAGGTGAGGTCTCCACTTCCCTCTTTGCAGCTCAGTATTTCTGGCCCTAAGTACTAAAACTATAGGGAGCAATGTAAGTGCCATGTTGCTTAAGAAAGTCCAATACCAGGTTCAATTAGGGTGCAGGAGAAGGGAAGTTTGCCTTTCCAACATCTATGGTGTCTTTCATGTAGTGCTACTGACTTGTGAAATAAGTGAGGCAACATTGATATGCAAGCACATGATTTATCAACATCAACTTGAACTGTATCAGTGGGAAGTGTGTCAGATAGCTAGATACTCAGTACTTTATGAGGTTTTGTAGTTTTCTTCTTTGTGATACAGCTTCTTTTTGGTGAAGCTGGGACTCTAATGCAGGACCTCATGCATGTTAGGCAAGTGCTCTACCATTGAGCTATATCCCCAGCCTATAATGCAAATCTTAGCCTGAATTATGTATAAATTTGAAATCTCACCCAGATCTTCCTTCAAGGTAAGGCCAGCCACTGGTTCTAAACTTTAGTGGGTTTAAGAATCACCTGGAATGCATGTTAACCAGACTTATGGACTCTACCTGTAGTTTCTACTTCTGGAGGTCTGAGGAGAGGCCTGGGAATTTGAGCTTAAAAAAGAACTCTTAGGTGCTGCTGGTTCATAGACCACTCTAAGTAGGAAAGAGAACATGTGTTTCCAATTTCTTTTGGCTTCGGTTTCATGTACTTCTTTTTCATAATGTTAATACATGAGGCTGTTAACTGTTGAGAAACTCAAAGGCAAATATGCACAATATACCTTTGATAAAACTGTCAATATACTCACATGGTCAGGGTTTTACTATGTTCTGGGACCCCGTTACTCATATGATAAAAAGACTGGACACTTTTGTCTGCACAGTTCTGCCCATTTCCTCTCCTATTTTGTTTCTTCTACATGGTCTGATTGACCTGAAGTTTCTTGAATCTTCTACTGATTCCTTATGTATCTACTAATATCTTTTCTTTCGTCTATATAACAGATTGCCTTTATATTCTGATTCTCCTTCAGATCAATACTTTCCACTTATGATTCCTACACATTTTACATAACTCTTGTATTATCTTTATAGCCCTATAAAAATCCCGTTTGTGACACTATCCTGTCTTTATGCTTTGGCACTACAATATAATACTGTCAGGAAACATTATTATAAACCTGCTTGCAAAGCTATAAAAATATCTAAGCTACCAATCTTCTATATCCCCTTAACCAGTCTCAATTGCTGTGTGTAGAAACAATATCTTTTGGCCTCTTTGGAGATTGTTTGATCTATGCTCTGTGACTTCCCAATTAATTTTTCATTTTTTTCAACCCAAATATAATTTATGTTCTGTAGCCACCCCAACAATTGAGATATAGAACCCTCACATCATCCCCAAAAGTTTCCTCCTGCCTCTTTATAGTGCTTTCTCCTCTCGTTCCAGGCTTTGACAACCACCATTCTCTTTTCAATCTATAGTTTTGCCTTTTCCAGAATGTGAAATTACACAGTCTGAGTCTAGCTTCTTTTGCTTAGCATAATGCATTTGATTTATACATATGATTTATATGGTTGTTGCTGGTATCCATCACTCATTCCTTTTTATTGCTGAATAGTATTCGATTGTGTGGCTCTATCATAATTGTTTATCCATTCCCAAATATTTTTAATGGCTATTTTTTCTCCTCTAAATTTAAGCTTTCTAGTTTATTTTGGTTCTTTGGCACTACAATGCAAATTTTCTGTGTGTTCTAGGTGGGAATTGGAAATAAGTTGAAATAGGTGTGAATGTGTTCTGTATTTCTGCACCTGACATATTCCTGATGTTTCTTAGAGTTGTTCTAACCAACTCTCAGATAGTAGGTCAGCTGTGGAACACATCTGTCCCAAAGAATCCTGTGTTATGAATCCTTTGGGAACAAAGGTCTTCCAATTTGCATGAATGACCTAAGATCTTTATATAGGATCATTTCTGCAATTTCCAGGAGAGATATAAAAAGGCTTTCCCTTTTCTATAACAGGACCTGTCTTACTTTCTTGTCTCTAGGACACAATACACAACACTCATAACTTAAGGGAGGAGAAGATTATTTTGTCTCATGTTTCAAACTTTTCAGTCCATGTTCAGCATACTTTAACACCAACACAGCATTGTTGGAAGAGTCTGCTGCAGAGGAAAGCTGCTCACTTTATGGTGGCCAGGAAGCAGAGAGAGAGAGAGAGAGAGAGAAGGAGGAGCTTGGGGGAGAGATATATCCTTACAGGTCACACCCCAAGTGACTCACCTGTTTCGACCAGACCCTGTCTCCTAACAGCAAATCATCTATATCACCCCCGTGATTCAATCACCTTCCAAAAGCCCTGCTTCTGGGCACATGAGGCCTTTGGGGAACATTCTTTTTTTTTTGGTACCGGGATCAAACTTGGGACCTTGGGCTTGCAAGGCAGGTGCTGGAACCACTGAGCTAAATCCCTGGCCCCTTTGGGGAACATTCTGTATCTAAACCATAACAGGTCCCAAATCACAAACATGTATTCTTGATAATTTGGAACCAGCTTACATTTTCTTTCACCCTTACTTTAGGGCCCAGTTTTGTATGTATCAGTGTTTGGTTCTGGACAAAACAGGATATGAAATCCCATAGCATTCTTGACTTCTTTCTCAGAAGGATCTCCCACAGCTTTGTGGGTAATTGAAGATGTGGTATTTGGCCAATATGGAGAGGTCTGGTCTACCACAGTTTAGATAGAGAGAACATAACCAAGACTAATAAAACTATCCAATCTACCTGATGAGAAGTATGAACATAATGTAACCTATACCATAAAGATCCAAAGGATTATTTCCATTTCATTAATTTTCATTAGTACTGAGGCTTCAGAAGCCCAGTTACTGTCAAGCACATCATATCATGATATTGTTTCATTGGTTCTAGTTGTAACTAGAAACAAAATAAAAATAAAAAGTGTATTTTATTTAAACTTGAATTTAGTTCTTGCATTTATACTTGTTCGTAGCCAAAAAGCCTAGAGGTGATTAGTTCTTCTATTTAAAGAAGAAATTCTAAAAATTGAGGATAAGTAAGTTTTATGCTAAACATCCTCAACTGTTCTTATAATAAGCATTTTATTTTAATTAGCATTTTAAAATAGAATGCTACTTCAGCATTTCTTTCTTTCTTTCTTTCTTTTTTTTTTTTTTGGTACCAGGGATCAAACTTGGGACCTTGCACTTGCGAGGCAGGTGGTGAAACCACTGAGCTAAATCCCTGGCCCTAGTTCAGCATTTCATCATACATTGGTTTTAGAATATTACTATACTTCTCCAAAAAATAATCTTTTTATTTTAAAAGAAAATAATTTTGAAGAACGCCCTTTGAGTTCATTTAGACACTGAATGTTTTATTGATTTCATTTAGTAATCCTTTAATAAGCATATAAGAGTTAAGACAGAAAATGTGTAGTTTTTTTAAACGTAGATAAACTGACATTTCTTTTTATCTTTTTTTCTTATACAGGTGTTTGCTTCAGAATGGTAAGTTATTAGAATTTGTTTATTACACTTTTTTTTTTTTTGAGACAAGGTCTTGCTATGTAGTTCAGTCTGGCCTCTAACTCACTATGTAGCCCAGGCAGGCCTCGAACTTGTGGTGATCCTCCTATCTCAGCCTCCCAAGTGCTGAGATTACAGGTGTGCACCACCATGCCTGGCCATTTTCACTTATTTTTAATCACAAAGATAAGGAGTTTTCTACATAATGATAGTCTACTGCTTATTTTCTGTATTTGACAACAAATAAAGAAATAATGTGACTTTTTTCAGATTAGTGATTGTGATTTTCATTTAAACAGTCTTAAAAAGATAGTCTACTAAAAACATTACCACCTTCCTAGGTTTTAGTAATTTTTTAGACATTTCTTTATTTTGGAGACAGAGTCTTGCTAAATCACTAAGTTGCCCAGAGTACCGGGATTATAGGCATGCACTCCCCTGCCTATTTTCTATAAATTTCCAAAGTACCTCTTTTGGGGTGATTCAAATGAGGCATTTTGATTTAAGTATATTGAATAGAAAGTGTAGGATCTCCTACATGTTCTAGATGGAAAAACCCTTTAGGCAAGGGAATGTATTTTGGACTGCATAGTGAAAAATGCTAATGTTGCGTATAGAAGTTGTTCCCTGAATTTTAGTGATTCAAATTCCTTGTCTTGTCTTAAATTTTTTTTCTTTTTGTCTTAAATTTTTATTTTTAAAAACACTCCTTTTTTGAAAGTTAATTCTGGTTTATATTTTCACCTAAAATCTCAGCTGAGAGTCACTAGGTTAGCTCTCTGGGTGGTCTCAAGCTCCTGGGAGTTCCAACATGTTCCCACCAGAAAAGTAGGTTTTGAGACAGTTGTGTCCTGCCTTCACAATTCAGATTGTCTCCATTTTCTTCTTCATTGATTGACTTATTTTTAGAACCAACTCCACATGCATCTTAGGTGTAACTATTTTGATTTGTGCTGCTTCATGCAGTTGGCCTGTGGAGTGTAGTGACCTTGATCACTCTGGCCTCCAAACAGAAGACTTTTTTGGGGGGTTGTGTTGGCAATAAGCATCCAGACTCAATTTGTCAGTGCAGAAATAAAGGACTCAGACACCAAGAAATCTCACCAAGGCAAGTTTACTTCTGCAGAAGGGTGCGCTACGCTCTTAAAGTAGGATAGCAAACACACAAGAGAGCCAGCAACAGGCTAGGCTCCCCTTATATCCTAAAGGTGAGAAGCAGCTGACCTTTTTCCCCATTGTCTGAGTTGAAGGGTCACAGTCTATCCCAACTGCCTAGTCTAGTTGGCATAAGGGGAGGGCCTAAAGGGTTGCCAGGAAGTGTTGCTAAAAGGTGTTGAGGGCACAGGAAACTAAATGTCCTTGGCAGGTGGTGTTCCCAGAGTCCAAGGGGCAGACGTTCATTGTAACTGTAACTGCAATCCTGTTGTAGAAGAAGGCAGCCTAAGATGAAATAAAGTTTAACATGGAGGCGATCTTCTTCATATGCTTTGAAAGAAGAGTTAGGTCCACAGTTTCTCACAGTAGTACTGTGGTCATACCCAGGGTGCTGTACCACTGAGGAACATCTTGGCCCTGAAAAAAAATTAAAAAAAAAATTTTCAATGAGGTCTCACTAAATTGACCAGGCTGGCCTTGAACTTGTCCTGCCTGGGCCTAAGTAGCTAGGATTACAGGTATGTGCCACCACACCCAGCAGAAGTGCATGTTTTTGAAAACCTCTGGTAGACTGAATCTACAAGAGTTTTTAGTATGATGTGCTTACAATACTTCAAAATCAAAATGTTCCTTGTTTTTTCATTTTCTAGAAAAATAATTGAATTTGAAACTGGGAGAAGAATTAAAAAAAGAATCAAGATATGTATATGTACCAATACCTCACATGAATATATTATCTATCACAAACATAAATTTACCCATAGAGAATTGTAATATTTGTCCCCCCACCCCACTTTTGTAAGACCGAAAGTCCAAACCAGGGCCTCATGCTGACCTATGAACTCAGCCTTAGTTATAACATTTTTTGACAAGTTCAAAGCCAACAAAAAACATAAGAATCTTTTAACCTTAAAGTACAAATCAGCACATCTAGGCTAGTGTTTTTCACTAGTTTAATTTTCTTATAAAAAATTATTTTCCCTCATTTTTGTTAGAAATTTCAAAATGTTTTAGGCTCTTTCTGCCTGTGAATACTTTATGTTGATCATAAAGTAGTTGAAAATCTTGGTTTGATCATCATTTGGAACCCAAATTAACAATGTAATTTAGTAGTAACAGGTGTGAGGGCAACTTAGCTGGATTTTGTGGATCCCAAAACATAGCATAGAAATTGGTTCAAAATAATTCCCACTATCAGTTTATTTTTTCATAATATGCTTGTCTTTGCTGAAAGGAGAATTTAACAAAAGATACTATTTAAGTGAAGGTTCTTCTTTTTTTTTTTTTGATACTGGGGATCGAACTCAGGTCCTTGCGCTTGCGAGGCAGGCGGCGGAACCATTGAGCTAAATCCCCGGCCCCTAAGTGAAGGTTCTTATAAATAGAGGTGTTACTGTATGTTGGCTACACAAATGTTGGCATAGACTACATTTTTAGAAAAAAATGATTATCAGGTTAACAGTTTCTGAATATTAGAATCAAGTATGTTATGAATTCAGACTTTTGATGATGGACTTCATCTTTCTTTTTTCTTCTGAATCCAGTACACTGAAGGTGAAGCTAAGAAAATAGGAGTAGTTGGCTGGGTGAAGAATACCAGCAAAGGCACTGTGACAGGCCAAGTGCAAGGCCCTGAAGAGAAGGTCAATTCCATGTAAGTAATAAGACTAATAACATGTGCATGACATTTCTGAAGCTATTTTAATGTTTCATTGGACAATATGAATGGTGCTAATTGGCCAAAGTTAGTTTATAGATTATAACTAAACACATATTTTTAGGCAGGCTAGTAGGGAAAATCACAGGGGTAGAATTTCATTGTATAGGAATGGATTTCTCCCTTGGATAGGTCTCAAAAAGAGCTATTGCATCACTCCTTGGTCTGTTTGAATTTGTCCTCTCAAGTCTCTCCAACATGGCAGACTGTTGAGGACCCAGGTGTTTTTCATTTGAAGTATTGGGTCAGAAGCATAGTGTCTTAGAATGGTTCTTGCAGTTCTTAAAGTAAACTTCAAGGCAAAAGATTACCATCTCCTTTTTATTGTATGAATACCTTCATTTTTATTGTCAATGAAGGTATATTGAGTAAGCTGTATGGTTGTCATAATGAGTCCTAAGGGACACAAGATTCAGTACTATGTGGAATAGTGCTCTGTGCATAGATGTCATTTTGAAAGGCTTTGTCTTTTCAGCTTCATAATTTCTGCTACCCTCTGCAGTCTTTTGTTTTAATAAAACTAGCTGACATTTATTGAGCATTTATGACATATTGGGGAATATGCCAAGCACTTTATGTAAATTAGATCATTTACTCTTTACAGCAGACCCTATGAGGTAGGTACTAAATAATTTCCAATTTATTTTATTTTATAGGCTATCTTTGTTTTCATTGCTTAATATTTTCAAGTTTTAAGCAATACTTTTTACTTATTATTATTATTGTAAGTGAAGTAATATAATGCTGAGGGTTTTGAAGGCAAAGTTAATAATCTGCCTCTTCTTATTTCCTTCCCCTTCATGTAATTTTTTTTTTTGTTTTGGTACCGGGGATTGAACTCGGGTCCTTGCACTTGCACAGCAGGTGGTGAAACCACTGAGCTAAATCCCCGGCCCCTTCATGTAATTTGTAATAATGGGTTTGGAATACTTTCAACAGCTTTCTCTTTTTCTTAAAAATACTTAAGTGTATATTTGTAAGTAAGGTTTTGCTATTGTTATAAAAATGGAATACTTTATGAATATTTTTCTATAACTTGTATTTCATTTTATGGACATCCCAACAATTAGTAAATATATGTTACTAACTCCTTATTTTTTCTAATTTACTGTTCTTGCATTTATGTGTATAAACACATCCCATCTTGAAAAGTAGGGTCCAGAAATTCAGTTTTATAACCTGTGGGTTAATAGTTATGAAAAACAGTATTTTTTACTAGGATTGTCACAAAAGCACAGAAAATTGTGAGACTTATATTGTACAGAAATGACAGTTCAGCAGATAAAAAAATGCTGAAAGATTATGAAGTGGTTCAAGAATGGGTAATATGTGGAAGATGGAATTTCCGCTCATGCCAATCACAGCATATTATTAACTCTCATTACAGCAAGGCTTTGATTAATTTACTAAACATAAATGGAATCATGTGTTTTCCTTTTTTTAAACTCCTGTATTATTCACACCCTTCTCCCCTTTGCAAGTAATGTGTGTTAGCAAGCTGGTGGATGGGTATCTTTCTGTGCTTGTCTTCACACTCACACTCCCCCCCCCCACAGTCACACACACACACACACACACACACACACACACACATTTATGGGTTTTGATGAAGGCAAATATTAGCTTGGATTCATTCTTTTTATTTTATTTATTTATTTATTTACTTATTTACTTATTGGTACTGTGGATCGAACTCAGGACCTTGTGCTTGCAAGGCAGGTGGCAGAACCACTGAGCTAAATTCCCAGCCTGGATTCATTCTTTTTAATGGCTGCTTGATATTGTACAGTATAGGTTTATTATTATTTATTACCTTACTACTAGGAACTCATTTTTTGTTTGTTTCTTGTTTTTCACTATGCAAGCAGTGCTGCAGTAAACATTTTATTGGTGGTTTTATTTTTATGGGATTGACTCCCAGGAGTATGATTTATTAGTTGAAGTGTCTGTGTATTTGTAGTGTAAAAGCATGTATTAGACTACTTTCCAAAACAGCTGTAAACAGTTTACATTTTTTTCCTCCTCATCCTGTTGGCAATTTATTTTATTGCTCTCTAATTTTTCCTTTATCTGATTGGCTGTAGAGTGATTATTATTTCACTGTAATTTGTATTTCTCTAATTATTAGTGAGCTGGAGCATCTTCATGCTTGTGGCTATGTGGACTTGTTCTCATGCACTCCGTTTTCACAATCTTTCAGCATTTTTTCATTGAGTTGCTTATCTCTTGCCAATATGTAAGGTCTCTTTGTGTGCTGGTAATGATTACTAACCCATTATCTGTAATCTCTCTTGAAAGAATTTCTCCAAATCTAGCGTTAGCCTGTTAGTTTTGTTTATGATATCTTTTGCAACATAAATTGTTTTTAACTTTTATAGACTTGAATGTGGCTATCTTTTATTTCTGCTTAAGAAACATTGTGTTGACTCCTAGGTTTCCTTCTAACTTTTAATGGTTTATTTATTACATTTAATCATTTATTCCATCTGAAATTTGTTTTTTAATGTGAGATAGGGAACTATTTTCTTCTGCCAAATGGATAGCCAGTTGGGCCAGCACCATTTATTAAATAACCATTCTTTTCCCCATTGAATTGAAGTACATTTTTGTCATCTTTTAAAATTTCATACAAACTGGATTTCTGGATTCTGTTCTATGCCCTGATCAGTTTATCTATTCTGACACCCATAGCCCATATTGATTTAATTTCAGTGACTTTATAGTATATTTCTTCTTATTGTTCTTTTTTGGAATCTGCTTTCTTAGGTATTTTTCTCTCTGATGCTTAAGATACCTTCATCCACTTAACTGGAATTCTATTATATTAATTTATCTTATGGACTTGTTTATTATTATTATTATTATTATTGGTACCAGGGATCGAACTTGGATCCTTGCGCTTGCGCAGCAGGTGGCGAAACCACTGAGCTAAATCCCCGGCCCTTGTTTTTTATTATTGATGTGTATATGATTACAGATAGTTGCTTCAAATATACATATCAGATCACATTTGTTAATTGATTTTATATTGTATCATTCATATTTTCTGCGTTATTTTTTCACTTTTTATAATTGGTTATACAGATTAATGGATTTCATCTTGGCAGATTCATAAATTCATATGATATACTTTAATTATTTTCATTCCCATCAGTCCTTTGTCCTATCCTCCCCTAGTATTACATTTTTTGGGGGGAGCTTTTAGTGTGTAAAATATATTTTGCTCATATCCATCCCCTATTACCTGCCCTTATAGCCCCATCCCTCCCTCCTTCACTCCCTCCCTCTTATCTAATAAAGTCTCCCTTCTACTTTCTTGTCATCTTTTTTTTAGATTCCACATATTAGGGAGAACATGCAATGTTTGTCTGAGTCTGGCTTCTTTGCTTAACATGATGGTCTCCAGATTCATCCATTTCTTTGCAAGTGACAGAAATTTGTTCTTCCTTGTGGCTGAATAATACTCCGTTGTGTATATAATTCAACATTTTCTTTATCCATTCATCTGTTGATGGACATCTAGGCTGGTTTCCTATCTTGGCTATTGTGAATTGTACCACAGTAAATTTGGATATGCAGGTATCCCTATGATATGCTGGCTTTGATTGTTTATGCTTCAGATATATACCAAGGAGTGATATAACTGGATCAAATGGTAGCTCTGTTTTTAGGGTTTTTTGGGGAAACGCTATATTGATTTCCATAGTGGCTCTACTTATTTACATTCCCACAAGTAATGTAGAAGGATCCCTGCGTCCTTGCTAGAATTTATTGTTTTTTTGTATTTTTGATGATAGCCATTCTGACTGTGGTAAGATGGAATCTTAAAGTAGTTTGATTTGCATTTCCCTAATAGCAATGTTAAACATTTTGTCATATACGTATTGGCTATTTGTAGTTCTTCTTTGGGAAGTGTTTGATTAATTCATTTACCCATTTATTGATTGGGTTATTCAAGTTTTTGTTGTTAAGATTTTTGAGTTCTTTATATATTCTACATATTAATCCTGTGTCAGAAGAGTGCATGGTAAAGATTTTCTCTCATTCTGAAGGATGTCTCTTCACTTTGTTAGTTGTTTCTTTTGCTGTACGGAAACTTTTTACTTTGATGTAGTCCCATTCATTGATTCTTGCTTTTATTTCCTGTGCTGTTGGAGGCTTACTCAGGACTTTACTTGTGACTATGGCTTCCAGAATTTCTCATATATTTTCTTTCAGCTGTTTCAAAGTTTCAAGTCTTATATTTAGATCTTTGATCCATTTGGAATTGATTTTAGTGTGAAAGAGATCTAGTTTCAATCTTCCACAAGCACATATCCAGTTTTCTCAGCATTGTTAAGAGAGGCTATCTTGCCAGGGATTTAGCTCAGTGATTCCACTGTCTGCCTCGCAGGCGCAAGGACCCGAGTTCGATCCCCAGTACCAAAAACAAAAACAAACAAACAAACAAAATAAATAAATAAAAAAAGAGAGGCTATCTTTTCTCCAATGTATAATTTTGGCTTCTTTGCCCAGAGTCAGATGCTTGAAGTTGTGTGGGTTTGTTTCTGTATCCTTTATTCTGTTACACTGGTCTACATATGTATTTTTTTGCCAGTACCATGCTGTTTTTCTTACTATGGCTTTGTAGTATAATTTGAAATCTGGTTATTGTGATGCTTCCAGTCTTGCTCTTTTGACTTAGAATTGCATTGACTTTCCTGGGTCTTTTATGTTTTCATATGCATTTCAGGATTAAAAAAAAATTCTGTGAAGAATGTCATTGGTACTTGGTGGAGAGTGCATTGAGTCTGTAGATCAGTTTTGGTAATGTGGCCATTTGACAATATTAATTCTGCTAATTCATGAACATGATAGTCTTTCCATTTTGTGGTTTTTTTCTTCAACTTCTTTGTTCAGGGCTCTGAACGTTTCATTGTAAAGGTCTTTCACCTCTA